CGCACACGCACGAGCACACTGGCTCAGAGCACCGAAACAGGGGGAGGGCCCCTCCAAGGCTACGCTGTCCTGAGAAGTTGGCAGGCATCACTAATACGCTTGAAAATAATAAAACCTGTCTTCCGTGAACAACCTTCCTCGCCTGGTCTTCTTGTGGGTTCTTTTTCACGCATTTGCAAGGGGAGCTGGAGTCCCCTAGAGGGCATCAGAGGACAGAGGTGGCCCCAGGAGAGGTGGGCCAGGTGATGGATGACAACCTCACCGCTGGCCCCCGCCCTAGACATGGCACTGGGCATGGTGGGGCTGTGACCAGTGTCTCACTTAGAAGGACACTGTGTCCCCTGGATGACACCTCCATTAGACGGATGAGGAAACCGAGGCCCAGGCTGCTGGAGCTCCCTGGCCAAAGTCACAGCAAATTAGGAATCTACATCTCCAACGGGAATGGAACCGGCCACCCCTCCTGGTCATGGGGGCCTCCAGAAGTGGGCAGCATGGCAGGGCCTTGGCACAGAGGCCCCCCCAACCCTACCCAAGCTGGGCCCTCATCACAGTAAACACGCCTGCGAGAACACAGGGCAGGGCAGGCGCCCCCAAGCCAGCAGCCCCAGGTCACTTCCCACAGGGCCCCTCTCCCCAGCCTCCGGCCCGGGCCACGGCCCAGGGGCAGTGGAGCCCAGACCCGGGTCTCCAACAGCACCACGTCAGGCCTGTCCCCAGCCCGCCTGGAGGACGACGGGGTCTGGGGCTGCCGGCAGCAGGGCCTGCTCTTCGCCCAGCAGGGGCAGCAAACCCGAGGTTCTAATTAGCAGCTTCTGGAACATCCAAGTGCCCTGGATGAAGGAAATGTGTTTCCTAATTGGCCCCCTGCCGGGGTGTCAGTCAGAGACAGGGATTACGCAGCCTCAGAGCGGAGCCCTTCCCAGCCACCAGGCCCGGCCTCCCGCACTCTCATCCCCAGGCCATCTCCTCCCGTCCTCCTGCTGGTGACCTTCTCCTGGGGCTGGCCCGGGTCTGTCCTGGGTGTTGGAAGGACACCCCCCCACACACCCAGCTCATCCCGGGGCCAGGGGCCCAACAAAGGACACCCAGAAAATTCTCCACAAGGCCCAGCAGAGCCCAACCCAGAGATCTCGGCCCCAGCCTCGGGGTGAGGCCGGCGCTGCTGCTCGGCTCCTTCCCGGCCAAGCCACACTCCCTGAGGCCCAGTCCCGGGGCGCTCTCGAGCCTTCCCAGGAGCCTATGAGATCCCCTTCCAGACACTGTTCTTGTCCTGCCTCCTGTCTGGACACGCAGGCTGAGCTGGGGTGGAGATGACTCCCCGACATTTAAGCAACCCCAAGAGTATCAAGGAGTCCTAGAACCAGAAACCCCATCCCCCCAGGTGTTGGGGAATAGGAGGGCATGGTGGCAGTCCTGGCTGTGAGGCCGCAGGCTGGGGGCATATTAGGAGGACACGAAAGCTGGTGGCACCCCAGCTCCAGCTTCCATCAGCTCCCTGAGGGTCACCCCACACTTTGTCCCTACTGTTCCGCAAGTTTTGCAGAAATGTGTACAGCTGGGTGTCGTGCCTGGGCAGTGGGTCTGGGGGCAGGAGACAGGTAGCCACCATGAAGTCTGGAAAGGGGGACATGCCAGGCTGGGGCAGGGGTGGGGAACCTCCAGCCTTAAGGCAAAATGTGGCCTTCTTGGTCCGTAAGTGCGGCCTTTTGACTGAATCCAGTTTTTGCAGAACAAATCCTTTTATCAAAAAGCGCACAGCAGAGAAAGATGAAGCTTTTCTTGCCTCCTATGGTGCTTAAGGAAGAAGAATCTTGAAATCACAAGGCCACAGTGTCCCCATCCCTGGAAGGGGAAAAAAAAAAAAGCCCAGGGGAGGCCACTGGGGAAGGAGCGGGAGGCTGAGGAAGCCACCTCACTCGTTGGGTCTGCGTCCCCATCTGTGACCCAAGGGGACTGTGGCCCACCGTCCCTGACACCTGCTTCACTCTGATAACCCACAAGGAAGTTAGATGTGCAGCAAAGGGAAGGCCAAGACAGGGACAGACGGCCAAATGGCACCCAGAGGCTGCGCCCCAGTCCCTGAGCCCCAAGAGGGGCCCACAAAGGCACAGGGCTTGGGGGGCTCCTCCGAGACCGTAAAAGGAGGTGTCAGGTTTGGCAGGTGGGAGGGTCTGCCTGCTGGGGGTGACAGGCCAGGAGAGCTCAGAGGGGCCAAGGTGCTCCTGGAATACCAGGCAGGGGGCAGAATTCACTGGAGTGAACCGAGTCAGAGGAGAAGGCCCAACTGAGTCAAACAGAATCAGGGGAAAAATGGGATCTGTGCTGGTAACTTCCACAGGTCCAATTTTTTCTTTTTCGCTTGCAGAACAGAGCCGAGGCTGCAGGTCAGCCCTCTACAGAGTCACTGCTCAGCTGTCCCCTCTCCCAGAGCAGCCTCATAAAGGATCTAAACTCAAACAAGTAAACACAACCATCCTTCCCCAGCAGGCCTACCTCTTCCTCTTCCCTCCTACCTCCCTGCCGTGACCCGTGGCCTTGCGCAGGGAAGGGGAGGAGGAGGAGAGGCGCAGGGCTTTCCCTCTGTGGCCCCAGACTCCCCTGGGCCTGCTGCTTGGCTAGGAACGTAGTGCTCAGGGCCCGAAATCCAAAGCCTGGAAAAGCTGCAAACCCCTCAGGCCCTCAGGCCAAGTCCTTGTCCCCCAGGAGGGCCGGGCAGGGGAGGGGGCCCCGCCTCGAAGTCCTGGGCAGACGCTAAAGACCCAGGGCTCAGAGGATGCTACCCCTGCGGCTGGCGGCCACATGAGCTTCTTCGAAAGCAACCTGGGGCCCCTCCTTGCAGGTGTCACCCTGGCTTGGAGACAGCACTTCCTTTCTCTTAAAGCAACCTCAAGTTTGTTTTCAAAATTCAGGTTTATTTTCCCATGGGAGTTCCTGCCGTGCCTTGAGATGTGTGTGCTTTAAAGGGGCTTTTAGGAATTTCCTGTGGACCCCAGAGGGGCCCTGAACGTTGATGCCACAGCCCGGCAACTTCTGAATTGGCACATGAAACCTGCCAGTTGCTCCTGCTTCACCCTGTGGGAGGCCAGGCGGCCTGTGGGCAGGATCGCTGGGGTCCTGCTCTGGCTTCAGTGTGGGGCGCATGTGCGTGAGTACTCAGGCACGCGCACACGCAGTAGAACGAGAACGTTTAAAAAGTTCTCAGCATTCCTTCGGGTTCCTTTGGGCCTCATCATTCACTACATTATGCTAAAAGGTCCTGACCATTGTCCTTATTAAAGAAAAAAACCTCAAGTCTGGTTCAAGCAGCTGGCCCAGTGAGGACCCCCACGAGCCTGCTGGACACCCTCACGGCCAGGGAAGGGATGGCGCAGGCTCTGGACAGCGAGACTTCCTCCGCGAGGGCCGCCCTCTCTCCCCACTCCTCCCACTGCCGTTTCTTCTGTCCTCCCTTTTTCCCACCAGCTTAGGCACCTGGCACTGTGCTGGGTGCTTCCCACACATGCTCAGTAGGTGGCATCATCTCCATTTTACAGACAAGGAAACTGAGGCTCCAATAAGCAACGGGACTCACCCTAGCTCCCCCGAGAGGAGCGTGGTCAGGACAGCCTCAGGAAGCCGGGCAGGAGAGAGAGGCCTTCCCAGGGGTGGCCAGGTGCTGGGGCCAGCAGGGCTGCCGGGGCCCAGGACAGGGAGGCACCTCCCAGGGCCAGTGGGAGAGGGGACAGACAAGACGGGGCCATGTGCAGCCGGAGTAGGGAGGAGGCTGAAGGCAGAGGGAAGGTGGGCAGATGTGGACTGTCAGGGCTGGGAAGAGGAGGCCCAGCCCCAGGCTCAAACAGCCTGGCCCACCAGGCCAGGTCGGAAAGAGTCCTCAGCTGGAAGGAACCAGGCCGGCATTCAGGGGCCCGGGGCTCCTTCGTGGCCTACAGTGGGGGCCTCGGCCACCCATACGGACACCCTGGTCTGTACTCAGGGGCCTTCCCTGCTCTGCCAGTGGGTAGCTGGACGATCCTCTGGGGACTTCAGTTTGTGTCTCCAGTTGTGAAGTCGCCCCCAGTTCTCTCCACACACTGCCCCTGGCTGCCCGAGGCCCCCTCCCAGGCAGGCTCCCCGATTGCCCCCTACCCATAGCAACCACGGCCAGGCCTTGACCCTGCATCGGGTGGTGTCTGGCCAGCCTAAGCTTCCAATCAGCACAGACACTCTCAGGGACCAGAAACCACACAGCTGGCTCCTTACCCACCCCCAATGGGGCGGGTGGCACAAGGAGAGTCCCAGCGAGGCAGGAAAGGAGATCCGGACAGGAGCCTGCTGTTGCCAGGCCACAGTGAGAATGGGGGGACAGGACACACCCTATGCCGGGAAGGGGCCCCTCTGAGGACACACGTAACAGGCAGTCTCTGTAGGTGGCTCCCGGGGCTGTCTGTCCCATAGGTCCCGGCTGGAGAATCCCCTTTCTCTGGATTTGAACTTCAGGTGCGTCAGAATTACCAGTGAGCCCTTTAAAACGCAGGTCCTCGAGCCCCACTGCAGCCTGGTGGGACATTTGAAACCCACCAGGGAGCTCCTACCCACTTTCTGATGCCTGGAGGGCTTCAGATCGAGCAATACACTTGGGCTGAATGCCCATGGCACGGATGCAGACACAGAAGTCCAGAGAGGTAAAGTGACTGGTCTGCGGCCACACAGCTCCTCAGAGCGAAGGCAGAGGCCAGCCTGGGCATCCCAGCCTCCGGTGGGCCCCTGGCCTGGGTGCCCGTCTACAGGACTAGGGGAGAACCCAGGCCACTGGGGCCCCTCACACCCCTCTCTGAGGGCTGAAGTGGAAGACATGAGAAATTCCCAGGTGTGGGATCCATCCAGCGGGGTTCCCATCGGTCAGGTCACAGGGACTCCATGACCCACACCCTCCCGGGGCCACCTGCACCCCAACCCCAGCTCCTTACTGGTCACGTGGCTCCTTCCCCACCTCCTCACACAAGGGGACCCTCACTCACCATAGTCCTTCTTGCAGTACTTTTTCATGTTAATCTTCAGCTTCCCTTTGGAGGCCTTGCAGTAGGAATCGCAGTCTGCAGGGGGGTGGGGGGAGCACAGACAAAAACTAATTAGGCTAGCCATGAATAGCCGGTGGGCAGAGTGGGAGGCCGCCTCCCTAAACACCCAGTGGCCTCTGATCCCATGGGCCAGGCTGGGCGGGCAGCCGTCCAGGGCAGGCCCAGCCTTCTAAAGAGGCCCTGGGACAAAGGGCCCCCGCCTGACCCACCCCCCATCCCCTCCCGGCCTGACGAATCCTTTAGCCGCCGCCTGCAGCCGCCTTGGCCTCCGTGAGAGACTCCGGGGGCTCCCGTATTGTGCCACCCAAGGCTTCTGAGCACCACACAGATTCTCCCTGTTCTTAAGACGCAACTGGGGCCTGATTAAAGCCGATAGAGGCCTCATTGTCACCCCGCGCCCCGGGTCTGTGTCAGGCACTGGCTTTCATGGCGCGGAGCCTCTGGCTGGGGTCAGGCCCCAACAAAAGAGGTCACAGAGGAAATTAGCAGCCCATGAAGCATTAGAAAACCCCTTTGGTGTCCACTCTACTGGAGTGTGCAAATAAAATGCCCCACGAAGAAGAGTTCAGTTCTAATGGGCCCTACTGCTGAGCGGCAAGGCTGCGGGGCCTGCATCCACCGGGTAGCACTCTGAGGGTGTCCAGGGCCTGAGGAAGAGCCTGGCAGGTTGTATGGGGCACCAGGGCCTGCCAGCCATCGGACTTGTTCTCCTGGGGGTAGCCTGTGTCAACCTCCTAAATGCAAAATCTCCCACCTTGGCCCAACCACGGTCTTTCCCTGCTGGCGAGTTCTGTTCTCTGGACAGGTGATGCAACTCCTTCACTAGGTCTGTGTGTGATGCCTTGGTGTGCTGGCCTAGCCCGTCACAGAGGCCCAGCAAAGGCAAGTCTCCCCCAGTCTGCCCTGCCCCCACTACTCAATGGGCTGGAGCTCATTCAACTCTCACAACCATTCTTTGATGTGTGGGTGTTATTCCCATTCTGCAGACAAGAAAACTGAGGCCCAAGGAGGATAAGCTGCCTGCCCGATACATCACAGGTAGCGACTGCTGCAGCTCAGCCTCGAGCTTGGGTCTGAGATGCCAAGATCCCTGAACCTTGGTTAGGCCATACTCTGTCTCTGTGAACACTGACAGAGTCCCTCTCAGTGTGAGCAGGGTGGTGAGCTCAGAACCGGGGGTGAAAGATGCCCAGTATTCTAGCAACTCCCAGATTGCTGTGGGGGAGGAGCAGCCAGGCCGGCCTGGGGCTGCAGAGGGCCCAGCCTGCTCTGGGAGCAATAGCAGAATGAGCTGGTGGAAATGGGCTGGGTGTACGTCCCAGTGAGGGGTGGGGAGAGGATTAGGAAGGTGAAGGCTCAACATACATGTGCACACACACAGGTGACTGTCCCAGGAGCAGGTGGCAGCCGCCCTCTCACCCTGCAGAGAAGAAAACCAAGGCCAAGGTGGGGCAAGGAGTGATTTGTGTGGGAGCACAGGGCAAAGCCCAGGCAGGAGGGCAGGCCTCTCAGTGCCACCTGCACCCCAGCCCTGCACCCCAGCCCAGGGCTTAAATCTGCAGGAAATATTCACAGGAGACCTCCACAGAGCCAGCCTCTGGCCCTATGGAGGTGGCTGCCTCCTTCGAGGTCCCAGAATGCACCGATGGATGCCTCAGTTAAAGTCGACACAGCTCCATCCCATTGCCCTGGGAGCGCAGGGCCAGCGACCCCCTACTGCCCCCTGTGCCAGCCTCTTAGGGCCCCCAGTTAGGAGCTAGTATCAGGACACGGGAGAAAAACAGTCCCATCCTGCTCCCCTGTGATCTGAGCCCTTGGAACCCTCAGGATGCCCCTACTCTTCAGCACCGAAGGCCACGATGCTGGTCTCTCCTGCCAGCTGGACAGCTGGTTGGTTATTGGAACAGCAACCTCTTGGGGTGCAGGGACTGGGTTGTCAGAGAATGTGGCCCTCGCTCTACTGTGGCCAAGCTCAAGAGGTTGAAATGAGAGGTGATGGCAGCCCAAACACACAAGTCATGACACCATCGTCACCACTGCCACATTTCCCCGCTGGGAACACCGGCTCTGGGCCATGTCTCTGCCAGCTCACACCCAGATGACGCTCACAGTAAATCCACTGCTATGGCTGAACCCAGGCTGTGCGTAAGTCCTGGCGGTCCCGGGCAAGCTGGCTGGAATCCCACCCTGCTCTCTGCACTTAGGGAAGCAAATTGGAACGCAAGCGGTGCTGAGTGACGTTATTGCAGGGACAGCCTTGAATCCACTCTCGTTGACTTCTTGTTTTTCTACGAAAGCCACTGGCCCACATCAGAGCTTCCATTTCAGATCAGGAGGAAATCACTTTCAGCCTGCCCTCCTCCATGGGCTGAGACACGCCCCTCCGTCTCAGCCCAAAGGAGAGAGCCTGGGGTCAGCAGAAGGGGTGCCTTTGAGGGCAGCAGCTCTTCTGGGCCTCACGGGAGGCTTTGGGGTGGGGGTAGGGATTGCTGTACCCAGCTTAAAAATGAGAGCCCAAAAAGGTTCCAGAGTGGCCTGGGGGGCAGAAGAGTCCTAGAATAACTGGCCCTGTACCTTCAGCATCACTGTCCCATCCTAGTGACCCCTGCAGCTCTTCCATCCAGAGCCACGTAGCCGCCTGGGACAGAAATCACCCTAGAATGTGCGGCATCCATCCCTGCCTAACTAGAAGGCGCTCCCAGACCCTGCTTGACCAATCAGTCATCACCACGAATACTAAGTCTGCACCTCGGTAACGGTGGCTGCTCCCTCGGTACTAACGTGTGTCCGGCACTGTTCCCATGGCTTTTGAGCTCCATTTTACAGATGAGAATGTAAGTGAGAGGCATTGCTGCCTCAGTTGCCCCCGGTCTCATGCCTAATGAGGCAGTGGCTGCAGGACCTCTGCTCCTAGCCCTCGTGTTCCCAGCCTTGACTATACAGTGGAATCACCTAGAAGTTTTCAAACACACAGATGCTTGGGCCCCACCCCCAGGAGCCTCTGATTTCCTTAGTTGAGGGAGTGGCCTGAGTGCCTGGATAGTTAACACTCCCCAGGTGATTCTAATGTGCCCTGGTCAAGGGCAGAGCCACCGTCTGAACCAGTTGGGAGATGGGGACGATCTCTGTAGCCGCGACTTGCCCAGAGCACTCAGCTTGGCAGAGGAAAAGCCCGGAGAGGTGGCTGTTGACTCAAACTGGAGAGTGCTCACATGGAGAACCTCAAGGGGCTTGCCCTTACAGAAAATGACGACAGCCTCTGAGCAACCGCAGCAGTTGGGTTTGCTGTGTGTATATCCTACGTTCTACGACTTTCCTTTCTGTCTGCTGGAAATTCTTGTCAGGTCACTGTGCTTGTTGCAGAATGTCCCTGGTCCCTTCATATTTGCTGATTCTAATTTAGTTGTGAGCTAGGAAAACAGAAAGACCAAGCTTGTTAGCATTGTACGTAAACTACAGGTACACAGGCTTGGAAGGAGAGGCTGAAATGTTCTCCTTTGGGTACAGTGAATAAGCTTCAGACCACGGACACTGTGACAGCTATTTGGCTGCTTGTGGACTCTTTGTTTAGGTTGTATTCCAGATAGCTGAGGTCATTGGACAAGTGGCCCCTGGATAAGGAAAATGTTCCTGTACGTTCTTCCTTTATCAAATACACACACAGCTACAGAGACTGCTTCAAGACGGACAAACCACCGCTTTGAAATGTGTCTTTGACTCCTTCTTCAAAATGGCATCTACTTGGCAGCCATTCATGTAGCCTCTCCTTGTTTTGTTCCAAAATAGCTATGAAGACAATGAGAAAAACTGAAAATTCACACTCATGCCAAAAACGAAACTCATGATGACCCAATGCTGGGATCTGGGAGCAATCTCTATTAATTAAAGGCAGATGGTGGTGGAATAAGCAAAACCTGTTCAGGTTTTACCTCAGGACACAGCTCTTTGTCTGACGAACAGAAAGATCCAGAAAAAAGGAGGATGATAGAGAGACAAGGACCACGAAACAAATGGGTAGGAAGTAGACAGGCACTGGGGTGACCCCTCCTCCAGGGAGGGGAAGTTTAAGGAAGGGTAGGAACTGGAAGGAACTTGTATTTTAATCTAAATCATGGATGTACACAATCAAAAAATCAGGCAGTGGAGATAAGAGAAAGGTGCCACCTACCCAGGGCAGAAGGAACCCAGGTAACGGCTGGTAGAAAACAGGAACAGGAGATGAGCTGTGTATATTTCCCTCCCATTCTCCTTAAATCTGAGGTGAGAATCCAACCATCATGCTAGTACAGGGATCTGCAAATGTTTTTCTGCAAAGGGCCAAACAGTCAACATTTTAGGCTTTGAGGGCCACATGGTCTCAGTCATAACTATTCCACTCTGTTGCCTTTGGTTTTGTAGCTCAAAAACAGCTATAGACAATATGTAACCAGATGGGCATGGTAGACTAAAATAACTCTAAAACAACACAGCCTCTGTGAGGTACAAGAAAGCCATCAGGGGAGACAAAGCTGAGCTGAAAAAGCCATATGATGACACAAGAAGAGAAGAGTTGGAAAAACAAAGACTAAAACAAAAATCTACAAACCCAACAGTGCAATTAAAATCTACTTTGGAAGCAGCAAAGAGAAAGGATACTATACGAAACTGATTCAGAAACATGGAGAATAAATTAGAGAAACTCTCACAAAATGTAGAGGAAATGGATAAAGACATAGAAAATATGAAAAAGAAAAGATAAGTATATAAGACAGAAAGTGGGGAGGTGACAGGATTAGGGGAGAACTACAGCAATAGCCAAATGGAATAGAAACAAGAATCAAAAATAGAATTCCTGAGCTTAAGACAGACCTACACATGCAGAAGGAAAAGGCTCACTGAAGATTTTCAAAAATCAAGGAAAAGAAACCAACACCCAGTCACATCTTTGCAAAACATGAAATAACCAGGATAAAGAAAAAATATATACAGATTAAACAACCACCACCACCTGGTCAGATGATCATGGAGCAATGTCT